TTTACGAAATTATGAGAAACTACTTATTAAACTTCGTAAAACATCGGCGATTTATTAACTAAGTGTGGTACTCTCTAAAAATATCCTTTGAGATTATAAATCTTCTAATCGGTCGTTCTTTTATTTTTCATAAAGTGATTTATCGACATGATTATGCAAAAATATTGCTTGTATTATTGAGTAATATTAATCATGTTCTGGATATTAAAATTTGAAAAAAAAATCTGCTTCATTTGGCTAGTTCACATACTGCTGCATAGTAGAAGCCGAAATACTGGTTTTGATTATTGGAAATTTTTTGACTTGGCCTTTACTAGTATTCTAGCAATTCTAAAAGATACGTAGGTAGGTACTGCCAAAATCCAGTGAGATTAAACTCGCTCATTCCACGAACTAAAACTGTTGTAATTAGGTTATTATTACAATCTAAACATGGAAAGTCACAAGTAGCGCCATCTAGTTGTTCCATGGGAAGTTAACCGTGCAGAATCATCGGTTGCCACCAACAATGTGTTTTGTTAAGTTTATAGAACAAATACATATAAAAAGTGTCCATCATTTATTTAAATGAAAATCCAACCACTTCAAAAATAAATAATTAATTATTAATAATTATCTCAAAAAATGAATTTTGGACACGAACACATGTAGTTCGAAGAAAAAAAAAAATTTAATGCGATACAGGTAGATCCGGACACCTAAGAGGCGAGGACAGTAGGTATGTATGCTACAAAAGAACTGAAACAATCTCCATTTATATTAAACATCAATATTGTGACTAGCATTCCCAGACGACTACCCGAAAACGAAAAATGAGCATTTCAATATAACAACATTTTGTTTTTATATTATAACTTTCATGATACATACTAGGTACATTCATTATTGTGTTTTTCGGCTTCGACCCGCGACGCGGCGACTGCTGCTCACGAATATGAGCCTCTAGCGTGGCTCGAAACTAGTCGAGTTCCTTGTCGAATAATTAAGTGAGTAAGTCGAAACACATACCTAATAAATAAAATGTAGTTTTCTCTGTTATTATATCCTATCTGTGATAGTTTCCATAGACTTTTTAGCAAGTGTGGGAGAGCCATGTTTCGGCACGAATGGGCCGGAGTGATACCACGGCTTCACCGTAGACCGACGTGAAACCCAATTACCCCCCCCCCCCCTCTCTTTCCCCAATCCCTGAATCCCCAACAATCCTCCAATTCCTAATCCTAAAAGGCCGGTCACGCACTTGTAACGCCTCTGGTGTTCTAGGTGTCCATGGGCGACGCCGATTGCTTACCATCAGGTGATCCGTCTGCTCGTTTACATATCCCATAAAAAATAAAAAGTACTGACTATAATTTGATGAGTTGGTTCACAAGGATAGGAAAAACTGCTATTAATTTTCATACACAGATTCAAGATAGACTAAGAATTTATTACCGTTCAGCTTCTGAGTGACATCCAGGCGTCCTCTAACACATTTGCTTGAAAACTTCTAAGATTTTTTGCTAATCTAAGTAATCGGTAATTATCGATATCACGATTATGGCTAATTATCAACTAGTTTTTATTAAATAGTATTAAGAAACAAGAAATAAAAGCGTGGCCTTCAATTCCTAGACTTCTAAAAACATGCCTAAGGTTAAAGGTAAATAAAAAATATTGAAAATCAGCATGACTACAAGTTTCCTTACATTATTGCTATTGGTTTTTGTAAATTATATTAAGTAATATTTATTGCCTCATTGGCCAAGTGGTCGCAAGTGCGACTGCCGGGTAAGTGGTCTCCAATTCCTGGGGCCGGCAAAGTACTATTGAGTTTAAAAAAATATATTCAGTGGTAGCACGAAGTCTGGAATTGTGCCCGGTATTTGGTAATAGGCTCACCTCCTTTTATATGGGACTCATAACATAAATAGTGAAAATTGGGTGTTGCATTGTACAGTGGCATTAAGTGCCTGCTACCTTTCCCTTCCTTTTTAGTCAGTAAGAGTCTGACACTCCCTTCCGCCTCACCCAGGCGGGAGCAGTCATTCGATGATTTTCCCCCCTTAAAAAAAAACCTTTCCCTTCAGGGATAAAAGGCGTGATGATGTTATGTTATTAATTATCTATTGATGTGCTGTATGTAAATAATTTTCTTTAGGGATTGTTGGTTTGAGGATCAAGGCGTGGTTTGACCTTAATATGAGAACATCTGACAAACCGCTTTACGGAAATAGCCCTTTAATAATATAATTAATTATCTCACAGTCATCTTGATTTTATATAATTTTTATCGGATGATAAATCCAGTATTTTTTTTTTTTTTTACGGGGGAAAATCATCGAATGACTGCTCACGCCTGGGTGAGGCGGAAGGGAGTGTCAGACTCTTACTGACTAAAAACCACCCCGTTCCTTCTCCTGCACGTCGAGCCGGAGCCCCGGTTACCCGTTAGGTTCTCCGCGACTCCGAATCGGCATCGGCCCTATTGGGCCCCATCTGTGGTAGTCTGATGGCTCTTTGAGGCGCGCGCGGAACGCGACGCGCCGTGCGCTCGGGTCTGTTTCTGGTCGGACGGGGAGCCACCCATGCTCGCCGTCCGCAGGCCCGCGCTTACGGTGGCCGGAGATCGTCCCGCGATCCCCGACGCCCGGTGTGTCCTTCGCGATGGCTGGGTCGCGAGGAGGCAGCGCTTCGCTGCCTCACGCGTCCCGCCTCCTCCTTAGCCAGCATGACTGCTTCGCAAAAGGAGGAGACGGCATCCCAGTCCCCCTCGCTCCGCATCATGGCCTGCACTAGGCCCGGACGCGAGAGGTCTCCATCGCCGATCACTTCCCTGAGGGCACGGCGGTGCTCAGCCCACGCAGGGATTCCGCAACAGTGTGTTCCACCGTGTCCTCAGGGTGGTCCTCGCAGTGATGACACCCGGGCGTTTCCTCCCGCCCCATCAGACACAGGTACCTCCCGAAACTTCCATGTCCGGTGAGGACCTGCGTCAGGCGGTAGGTGAGGACGCCGTAGCGTCTCTCAAGCCACTCCTCAAAGAGGGGACTTACCGCTGCAATGGCAGCGAGCCCAGCCCTCGGTTGCGACAGTCGTTGCTGCCATTCCGCCATGAGATCGCGCCGGAGCTCATCCCGCCACGCACTTATCTGGCGCGGCAGCGGAGTTTCGCCCCGGCAGCGTGCCTCCGCGCGCATGCGATACACGCGCGCGAGCACCTTCGCCTCCAGATCCCACGGCGGTAATCCGGCAAGGAGGTTCGCCGACTCCCCAGAGATCGTGCGGTATCCGCGGATCATTCGGATCGCCATGACCCTCTGTGCCATAAGCAGCGCCCGAGCGGGCCGCTGCAGCAGGTTCGGCGCCCAAACAGGGGCGCCGTAGAGGGCCATGGACCGCAGATAAATCCAGTATACAGTCAGGCAAGTTATATAAGAAGTAGTAAAAAATGAAAATAGATTCGGTAAAGAGATATTAACTATTGTTACATCTACTAAATTGTATGCTTCATAAAGAAGGAATATTTTTTTGTAACCATTCGCAGACTCGGTGTCCATGCAATCAGGGCCATCTTAGACTACGCTGGGACCCTTAGGTACACAATAATTCGGGGCCCTTTTGGAATGTCTCTTTTACGTTGCCCTACACTAGGATTTTGTTGCGGAGAACCTAACGGGTAACCGGGGCTCCGGCTCGACGTGCAGGAGAAGGAACGGGGTGGTTTTTAGTCAGTAGGAGTCTGACACTCCCTTCCGCCTCACCCAGGCGGGAGCAGTCATTCGATGATTTTCCCCCCTTAAAAAAACTCCATGTTTAGAAAAGAAAAATAAACAAGCTATGACATTGTACCAAAGAGTATAATATAATATCCCAATAAGTTAAAATTAATTACAACTAAAACAGTGAATAAAAAGAAACAAAAAAAAAACACAAAATACCCTTAAATAGGCGTCAAAGTACTCGACAGAAGACTGGCAGCATTGCCATTGGAAGATTGTCCTCATTTAAAATTCAAATTGATTCCAACGAGATTTTTGGATTTGAAACTGGTTAAATATATCTCGGTCTAAAACCAGTGCTAAAAATAAAGGTATTCAAAATGTATTTTAGAACATTACCTAACGTTGTTATGAATTTAAATTGCGAAAAAACTTTCCTAAAGGTCAGATTATTTGAAAAAATAAATAAATAAAATTAATGATACTTCGATTCTTAAGTATGAACGTACCAGATTTTTTTAAATTATCTAGCTAATTAGGCATTGAGTATCATAATGTTTTCTATGAATTTACGAAAACTTGTGCCGTATTGTAATTTGGAAATCATGCTCATTTATGACATACCGACCTATTTATTATTCATCGTGACGATACTCCTTATTGAGCCTACTATATTAGTCTGAGCAAAGTTGTAGTTTTGCGCATTATATACAACAGCTCTCTGTTTATAATAACTATCGTGGGATAGGCTGAATTCACTATAAATTACGAGCTACTCACGGAAATGTCCTAAAAAAGCTGTAGTAGTTTCGAGTCACAGTCGCCGCCACCGCGCACGCTGCTTATAGCGAAACTAGTAGGGCTTTTCTCAGAATATTTAAGTCAGTATATCATCATTTTAAGTTAATACAGCAGCTCTCTATTCGATACATAAGTACTCCGTCTTTCATTATGACCTGTGTCCTATAATAGGCTTTCCAATTTTTTTTCATAATTAATAGGGATAACTCTATTCATCTATTGTGAAACTAGATCGAACCATTTGTCAAATGGACGTAAGTGCGATAACGTTTAGAATTGGGTCCTGGATATGGCAATGAGTTTACACCTGTTCTATGGGACTCATATAATGTAATTCCCTGCTGATGACATCCTCATCAGGTGTTCACTTTTGTCTCCATTTTTAGTAGAAATGACAAAGATCTGTATAGGTCACACCGCAAGCAAGCACACACAGCAAGACAGTAAATAGCCCAACAACAAAAATACTTTATTCATACAATTAAAGTTTTATATTCATCAATCGATATCAAGTTTCTTGAAGGATCCCTCCACTCCGCCGAAGATATCGGAGATGGTCTTCGGTTTGCCAGGTCTCTTGGACTCCACCACGCGTTTCTTGTTCTCCTGTGCGAAGAATTCTTTCGCATTCCTAATTCTTACCAACACGTCATCTGGAAGATAGAACATATTTATCGTAGAGGGCGCTAGTATCGATAATGGACATGTAATTTTCTCTTTTGTTGATTACTGCAATGAATGCTATAAAGGTATATAATATTTTTAATCAATGTCATAAAATATCGAAATAATAGTGAAACATGGAAGGGATGACTAGATCCTTTGAAATATCATAAGTCTGACAAGTTGTTCAGAATGGTACTTAGAAGGCTTTTTTAAATTATTTAAGTGCATTTTTTAATGAATTAAGGAACAATGGAAGAAATAATTAATTTCTATCATCAACCAACCGGTACACTGCTGTAGTGTTTTGTACTCTCCACCTGATTCTTTCGGCAGACCTTCAATCGGCATGAACTTTCCAATAGTTTTCGATCCTATCTGGTGGATGCTCAACATGTCCAGGAGCTCTTTCTTCATGAACGGCCGCAGGATCATCATCAACTTATCCATGAACGATGGCGCATTTAGAAAGTGCAAACTTTTGATTTTGAGTAACATGGCTTCCTGGAAACAAACAGCAATAATGTTTTTTTTAATTATTTCTATTTTACTTTAGGGGCTTTTAACCTTTAGGCTACGTCAGTCCCATTTTAACTGAAACTATCTATTTAAAAATATTTTAAACTAACTAAAAAATGATTAAGAGTATTAAATACCAGCGGGTCATCACTGTCGCAACATCATTACAATAGATCGTTCTGCATTATTTAAAGGTTCTATCAAAATACTAGAAAAGGATCCCAAATCTTAATCTTTATGTTAAAATGTTGCATCAGTAAGGTCCTCGCTTCGCCACCAAAAAAAAAAATGCTGAGTATTGAGTAACATTCTAAACACCGAACGTTTCTATAACGACTAGACTATAAAATCATTTTTACAGAATAATTAGCAATTATGTATTGTATTGTCCATAGTCAAGACATGGTCAAGGCATTAGATGTCTTTAAGAGTATTTTGTTCAATAATGCTGGTTTCCTTATGTATAACATCGCTGTATAAATCACTTTCATTTATTATACTGAACCAATCAGTTTGCTCGAATAGATATTTGCTCTTTACCTGTAAGAAGTATAGGAACTGCTGCACAGACTGCAGGTCGAGCCTAGCGATGTGTGACAGCGTGCACTGGTCCAGGTCGATGACTATCATAAACCCTGGCCATGTGCCCTCCTCATACTGCCATATGTCCACTAGCATTAGGACTGCCCTGGAAAATATAGAATCGTAAAGTGATTAGAGATCTATAAGAGAGAAATTAGGAGCAGGATAATTGTAATTGACAAACAAGTTAGTTAAAATTGCCCGTTGGCTTATTTTTGATATATTTTTACTAGCTTTTACCCGCGGCTTCGCTCGCGTCACAAAAGGATAAAAGTAGCCTATGTGATATAGAGGTATAACACACAGCGCCATCTATACCAATTCTTTTGTTTTCCCTCGGGAATGTCAAAATTTTCGGGGATAAAAAGTACCCTTTTATTTAATCCAGACTTCTAACTTTACGTCTACAAAAATTCAAAGCAATCGGTTTATAAGATACGGCGTGCAAGCGGAACAAACAAACAAACTCACTTTCCCATTTATAATAGTAAGGATATTCCAGCTAACCGTCTAGCAAAGGTTTTGATTACGAGTCAAGCATTTACTATCAAAGATAGATTTATGCCCACTGTGTAGTAGCTCGCTCCTGGCTTCCTATTTTATGGAACTTCAACATGTGAAAGCATTTAGCTTTGTACATTTTGGAAACCCTAGTTGTAGGTATTGTACCTACTTTTTACTTTAATCGAAATATTACCTAATAGCATCAGCGAAAACGAAGTTCTTGACATCAGTGTTGAGGAGTCGGCAGTACACGATGGCGGACTCATCGTACGCTCTCGCTTCAAGTGGAGTCAGGACGCTGAAATAACGGGCATTAACCATTAATTGACGTAAAATATAATGTGACTTTTTCAGAGTTATATGTACTTTCTAAGATTATCTAGACACCACTGACAAACGGTGAAGGAAACATCAGGAGGAAACCTGGGCTTATAATTGCTAATTATAAGTTTGTAATCGCCAACCCGCATTGAGCAAGCGTGGTGATTAATACTCAAACCTTCTCCGTGTGAGAAGAGGCTTTGCTCAGCAGTGGGCATTTATAGGCTGTTGATGATGATGATGATGACGTAAAATAGTAGTTTATGACCAAACAAGAATTATAACTTGCATTACAGAAATTTAATAACGAATTAAGCATCTTTATTTTTGGATACAATAAAACCATTTCTGATATAATTTTATTACTTGCTACCTACTGAATGAGATTGATATCAAAACCGGCTGCCATCTTTAAAAGAACATGTTTTATTATTTGAGCTCTTGGATATAAGCCAAAACGCAGCCAAATTGTGATTAGTAAAACTACAATATTTGTCTACAAGTGCAAAAGGTGAAATAGCTACTCACTAATAACTAAAAGTCTTCAACATCTTGTCATCCACGAATCTGTCTTTGAAGAAGTTATTGAAGAGTGTCTTCAAGGTGTAGTGGAGATCCAGCACCTGCTTCGACACCTCAGAGCTTCTGTTGCAGCAGTGGTAGGTTAAGATGAGGTCCAGTTCTGAAACAGCCAGAAAAAAATTAGTACCTCAATATTACAAGGAAGAAAAAATAAAGTATAAAATGGTTATGGGCCGGTTAAATTTATTGTAAAACTGATGACGATTAGGGATGTCGTAGAGTTGAGACCACACCATTACCACCGGATGAGGTGGAGTGACCATATCTGCAAATGAGCTGATAATAATTAACTGCGAAGAACTGAAGATCAAGCTCTGAGTTGTGCTAGTGTAGAGACCTAAACATGATCAGCCATACACGTACACCTTACTTTAGGCTTTTCAATTAAAACATTTCAGAGATTATACATTTTAATAGTGTACATCACACAGCCACTTAGTGACGTAGCATCCATTATAAAACCGCCATCTATTTTATTATCGTCATAATTGCACCTTTAGCGTACACGGCCAGTAATTGTCGTTTACCCGCCAATCACACATGCGATCCGCAACGAGCTGCGCCCGCGCACACGTTCCATGCTCTCAAGGATTTCTAGTCAATGGAACCTAGATCATTTTCCCTAACTAGTTGTAGACTAGACACTACTTGTTAGGTTTAAGGTAAAAGGCAAATTATAATTATAATTTATACCAATAATTCTTTATTGGTATAAAGTAGGTTTGCTTGGACGTAATATCTTTAATTGTAAAGGTAATATGAGTCGACTACCTAGGTAGGTACTCGTCTGATATTATATCTACTTCATAGTCTAGAGTAGAATGTATTCTATGCATTACTTATATTGAACAGTGTTACAGACTTTCTCGTAAAAACCCTTATAATTCCTACAAAGATGACCACCTTCATTATAATTCAATTGATTGCTTCCATTTTACGGAATAGGAGGCAAACGAGCAGACGCATCACTAGGAGCCCGAATCTGTTATGCAATACTGTCAGAATGGTCATCATTGAGCAGTGCAAGAGGGTAATAGCAAACTAAGGCCCCTGATGGTAAGCGATATCAGCGCCGCCATGAACACCCGCAACACCAGAGGAGTCACAGGTCCGTTGCCGGCTATTTAAAAAGGAATACACTCTTTTCTTGAGCATAACTTGACTGTAATAGATATTTTACGCTACTGAATTACCTCCAAACTTCGACATGCCACCATTAGATAAATGATGCATTAAATACAAAAATAACTGATGATGTACCAGCGTCATTATTTTAAAACGATATAATTTCTGTAATTGAGGAAGTAGCCACAACCTCCATTGATCCACCGCAGTACTCGTAATTAAATTAATTACCTTTCAATGTCAACGAAAAAAACTAAATCGCATTGTTATAAAATTACATGACACAACACACAACGTTAAATAGATGGGGGCAGATTGCCTCATTGTATGAAACGACAATGGTTTGAATGTTTGAAAATGTATGCCTTACGTTTGTACTCGTGTGTTATGGTTTCATATCTCCATCTAATTTTGCCAGTTTCGTTCCACTTTTGGTCATCAATTTTTCTTATCATACTTTAGGGGTCTGATACTCTGATCTGCTACAATAGTTGCAAAACTGTTTAAAATTGATTACATAGTTTCAAATTTATCAAAAAAAATCATACAAACAAAACTGACTGACTGCACGGTTGGAGCGGTGGCTGGGCAACTGGCTGCCGCGCAACATGTCACGGGTTCGATTCCCGGAACAAGTCTTTGTGTGATCCACAAATTATTGTTCCGCATGGTGTTATGTTGTTGTTGTATGTTGGTAAATGCACGCACAACACAGGAGACAATCCTAGTGTGGGGTAATAAAATCTGCAATTTATATGAAGTCAATCAGACTAAGGCTACTAAGGTACTTATTAAGGTTACTAGCTTTTACCCGCGGCTTTCCTCGCGTCACAAAAGAATAAAAAGTAGCCTATGTGACATATACCATTACATACAGCCACCTATACCAATACTTTTATTTTCCTTCAGGAATATTAAATTTATCTGGGATAAAAAGTACCCTATTATTTAATCCGGTCTTCTAACTTTACGTCTGCAAAAATTCAAAGCAATCGGTTTAGTAGTTACGGCGTGAAAGCGGAACAAACAACCAAACTCATTTTCCGATTTATAATATTAGTTAGGATTCTCGGGAAATACAGATTCCGGCAAGGAATTCCATTGCTTAACTACTAACTGGTAAGCTAATTGAAAAGTACAAATTCCACACTCAAAGTAGGATCAAAGTATAATGGACCTTATTCTATACTTACCAGTTATTACAATCGATTACACCTCTATTTGATTATCTTCTGGGAATAATAGAGACAATTAGTAACTGCCTTGTTACTTTAGTTTTTATTCAGTCTAAATAATAAATGCTTCAAAAGCAAACTATTCTTCGAATCGAGTAAACTTGATTGGTTTGCAATGAATGAGTTAAAACTTGGTAATAACTGATTAGATTTTAATACAATTTCATTTCCAACCACAGGTAAATTCTAGATAATTCTTCCATGTAGTAAAATTGGACTAAGAGCGGTTAAATTGCCCAAGACGTTTTTAAATAAACAAGTAGATGAAATAGAGATTTTAAGTGTGGGAGAGCCATGCTTCGGCACGAATGGGCCGGCTCGACCGGAGTGATACTACGGCCTCATAGAAAACCGACGTGAAGCGACGCTTGCGTTGTGTTTCGTCGTATGAATGAGGTCACCGGAGGCCCAATTACCCTCCCCTTCCCTAATCTCCCCGATTCCTGAATCCCCAACGATTCTCAAACTCCTAATCCCCAAAAGGCCGGTAACGCACTTGTAACGCCTCTGGTGCTTCAGGTGTCCATGGGTGACGCCGATTGCTTACCATCAGGTGATCCGGCTGCTGCGGCTTATGACATAAAAAAAGAATACTGGAGTAAAAGAGAAAAATAGAGCCCTATTACCAGTAATATGTTCTGCTGGTAGATGTGGCTGTGTCTCCACCCAGTCTCTGAACTTCTTGATATCTTCTCGAGTGATCCGAGTCTTCTTCTTATATTCTTCTTCTAAAGGAAACTGCACGGCGGCCGACATTGTTCTGAAAACACAATTGTAGATCATACAATCATGTAGAACCTACGATGTTAGGTTGTTTTTCAATTGATTTGTAAGTTATTATATATAGTTATGATTTACATATATAATTTATTAGTGGTGGTATTTTATTGGCTGTATAGTAGTCATTATTTTCTATTTAATATCTAATAACCTAATAAATATAATTTTGTTTTTTGTTGCAAAAACATTGTTGAAATATATTTTTTTTGTGAGACATATTGTCCTCTGTGACTCGAAACTAATAGAGCTTTTCTCAATATATTCACGTGAGTAACCCTAGTAATGTCGTCATTGTCTAGGAGTTGACCCAGAGTCAGGCATTGCTACATTAAATGGCGCCTAATGGTTATCCTTTGACCAAATAGAACTAGCCTTTTATTCATAATACCCGACAGGTTCTAAGAAGTCAACCATACCAACTATCCTATTTTTTTTAAAGCTGAATAAATTATTATGTTTTCGGCTTATTCACGTAATTATTTGACGAGGAACTCGACTAGTTTTTTTTTCATGCGACAGTCGCCGACAGTCGCGGGAGCCTCTAGTATGGCTTGAAACTAGTCGGGTTCCTCGTCAAATAATTTCGTGCGTAAACCGAAAACATAATAATTTATTAAGTATGTCTCACGAAAGTTATAATACAAATATGTAAAGCTGTACTTGGACCTTAGAGTATTTAACCAGAACTTTCGATAGCATAAACCTACTACGTTACATCTATTGATTACAACTGGTTGGCTGAATCATCACGCTAACTATTCACTGTGTATTGGTAACCATGTATATATTTAGGTATACATTATATATACGTACATATGTATATTGTATTGTACTCGTGCGTAGGTATATATTATAATTATATTTATTTATGTATATCTCTGAAATATACATGTTTATCTTCTTTTTTCAAATAAATTCATTGCTTGCCTTTTGCAACTACCAATTACTCTTCTCTGCATCACCCAAAGGGGTCAGACTGGAAGAAAATGCCTGCGGCATCAAGTCCACCTAATGTACATACACTTTGTGTATGAAGCATCCTTACTAATATTATAAATCGGAAAGTGAGTTTGTTTGTTTGTTTGTTCCGCTTTCACGCAGTAACTACTTAAACGATTGCTTAGAATGTTTGCAGACGTAAAGTTAGAAGTCCGGTTTAAATAATAGGGTACTTTTTATCCCGGAAAAAATTGATATTCCCGAGGGAAAACAAAATTATTGGTATAGATGGCGCTATATATGTCACATAGGCTACTTTTTATCCTTTTGTGACGCGAGCGAAGCCACGGGTAAAAGCTAGTATTAAATAAATACAACAAAAAGTAGGAACTATGTATCGTCCATGAATAACTAAATATTGTCAAAGGGCATACACTGACAAGTGACACTGTATGTTTAGTACAAATCATATTATATACCCATCACAAGTATGACAGTTAACCTTCATTACGGTAACAAGCACAAAGCTCAGCTTGTAATAGATACACGGTATATGATCCTTATTCTCATTACCATATAGTATTATCGATTTATAAAATTGATTACTGTTATGGTATGAGTAATATATGAGGTAATTGTCTTAGTGCACTCAGTGGTATAGTGGTGATATTGTAGTGTGCCGATTAGCCTAGAAATATCTGTCATATCTATCAAGTATTGGCTGTATATTAGGTCAAGCAAAGATCTTGCATACTATAGACTCTTGTATTCCATAAATAATGAAGCATTTGAGCGTGTCGTCTGGACATGCATCGGTACTTCTGTGACTTGTTTTTATTAACGACTAGCAGCCCGTCCCGCCAAATTTGGATTGTTGTAGTGACATTAATACAATAGTTGGACATATGCTACCGCGGAGTTTTTTGTAGACATTATGATGTTCTTCAATATTGTTGTACATTATTTTGTTCTATCGCTAATAGTTTCGGCAGCGCATTCGACGCAAGACATTTTAAGACTAATTTTTCTACACGTTCGGTTACATTGTTCAAATTTTACCAAGGATCCCTAATTTTTTTCAATATGAAATGTAGCCTATGTCAAATTGGAAGAATGTAGCATTCTATTGGTGAAATATTTTTTTTAAATCGGCCCAGTAGTTTTTGAGCCTATTCATTACAAACATACAAAAAGAGGTACAAATCTTTCCTCTTTATAATATTAGTATAGACTAGCTTCAGCTAACGGCTTCATCCGCGTTCCCAGGGGTAAAAAGTAGCCAATGTATTACTACAGTCACTGACAGGCAACCTAACATTCGACAAGTTTATATTTGATACTTTTTATTTTTTTAATATTTTCTATGTACAGAATTTACACTTGTACAGTTTTATTTTATGTATAGATTTATTTATGTACTCACAACGTCATTATGCCCTTGAAGGTTCTAATTTTTCCTTGCTGGCTGAAATTTTGAGAAACCTCAGAGGTCTACTGTTTGTCTGACTCTCCAAAAAAACTGTACAAGTATTGATGTATGTGCATATGGCTGCCTCATTGGCCGAGTGGTCCGGTATATGGCAATAGGCTCATCCCCTATTACATGGGACTCATAACATAAATAGTGAAAAGTGGGTGTTACATTGTACTGTGGCATAATCTACGCCTACCCCTTCGGGGATAAAAGGCGTAATATTAAGCTATGTATTGATGTATACTTATATAGTTTCCAATTACAACGTGCCATGAAGCTGTAGGTACTTAGTATAGACTGTGCAATGTCTGTCAGTCACTCAGTCATCAGATGGAAGGGTTTCTTATAAAATCGCATAACTTTTTAGAATAAGCCTGAACTGTAGACGTAAATTAAATTATAGCTAATAGTAATTACGCTTTTTTACTCCAAATTCTAAAACATCCGGCATGGCAATCACATCGGTTTTTTCTTAGGATTATAAACAAAAAAGTAAACAGGTTTGTTCGTTCTTCTGTTGACTGATCAGATTAATATTACCTACATTGCGTTATGAAATCAATGGGGCCTTGACTATCTTATAATATTTTTTCATATTTATTAAATAAGTACATGTATACATTTTTATTAATGTGTTGACTGGTATAAATAAGAGTAGACATTTAAAAAAAATATCTTTAAATCTTTCGTGAATTTAAATTATTCATTCTTGTGTGTTGGTACGATGTGCAATCATTATATCAATAGGGTAGTTTCCTAAATTATATTTTAATTGTCCGTCTGGCAGGATTAGGTCCTACATTAATTTAAAACTTTAGATACGTATTTTTTCTTTTCTCACAAAATTAAATACTTTCGACGATATATTAATTTGAAATATCGTGTAACGTCACAGCGTGCTACATTTTGTAGCACGTTATGACGTAACGACCTCCCATTTCTAAACCCAGCGCCATTTTTTCGAAGTATTGCAACTTAATACGAGAAAATAAAAAAAATACGTGTCTAATATTTTGTCATTATCTAACTGACGGACTTTAGATTTTTAATTTTGATACCCTAGAAACTACCCAATTCCATGCTATTATCACATAGGGGTTATCAAAAACCATGGCAAGAACTATAGAGCAGTCCTTATAATATTATAGCTTCCTTCTATATCTTATCGTCATCTGAAGAAAATTTTGAAATCAACAAAAATTTTGTCATGCATATATTGTTTTTTATGAAATAAGCTAGTAACCAAGCAGATGGACCTGGGGAAACGTCGTCACTCATAGACACCTGAAACCAGGGATGTTAGGGAGCTCCGTAACCGTAACCGAAACTCTCGGATATCCGATATAAAAAAATATCCGTAACCGAATCCGAAATAAAAGTTTCTGATACTATCGGATAGGGGCGTAACGTATAAATGAGACCATTATATTAGCTATTTGTATTTTAATTTTGAAATTCCTTAAAATTTTAATATCCGTAACCGAAATTATCCGAAACTAACGGATAATCCGAAATAATTTCATATCCGTATTTGTAACCATATCCAGTATAATAATCATTTCTATATCCGTATCCGAAATTTCACTTCCCTAACATCCCTGCCTGAAACACTAGAGGCGGTCTTCTGGGGGCTTAGGAATTTGAGGATTGTTGGGGATTCTCTGGTAACTTGGTACGACGAAACACAATATAAGCGTTGTTTCACGTCGGTTTTCTGTGAAGCCATAGTATCACTTCAATCGAGCCGGGTCATTCGTGCTGAAGCTTGGCTCTCCCACGAATACACTGAATAAACCACAGATATAATAATAGAGAATTTTTTAATATTTCTGTGGAATAAACGTAGAACGTCAAGCTCAGCAGTAGCAACAACTTAAACATAACAATGGAGTCATGCAGTTACCTATGTCTTCTTTGTAGACGCAAAATTACCAGATATTTGCTTGACAAAAATATCACCTACATTTACAGAAGAACATAAAATACTGAAACTATTATTATACTCGTTATGTTTCATTGTAGCTGTCATTGTGATTATTTAATTACAAGTCCCAGAGATTAACGCTTGCATACATACAAAAAAATAATTACAATAAAAACACGTTATTGTGTAAGATACGTAAATTCAATACCTATGATAAAAGTGTCAGATTTTCTGTTTATTTTTAAAACCTAATAATAATGTTGACAAATTGTCTGTCGCTACAAAGGTACTTTTAAATATATTATTAATTTGAAAAAATGGCTAAACTCGTTCAAGAATATTTGCGGGAGAAATTTCTTAAACGAGATTAAAACGTGAATATACTGAGAAAAGCTCTACTAGTTTCGAACCAGAGAGGGGTTCTTCCTCATGAGCAGCGTGCACGGTCGCGGCGATGTCGCACAGCCTACTGATTTTTAGTTAATATCTCACGATAGTTATTATAAAAACAAGATTAAAACGATTTTCAAATATTTTAAAAAAGTACGACATACGTAGTTCAAAATTTGAATTAATTTACAAATGAATATTATTCTTTGATCTAAAAACAGAAAAATAGACACTATCATTACGATTCTG